GTTGGGCTAAAGTGATGAGCCCAATTCATTAGACCCAAGATGTCATCTTCCTAGAGGCCCGGTTTGGTGCCACGTGTCAAATGATGTGGCGCGCCAAGTCAAGTGGAAGAGCCAATAGGATCATGCCACGTGTCAAAATGACAAGGCATGCCCAGTCACACTGAAAGGCCAATTAAATCGCGCCACGTGTGCAAGTGACATGTTCTGGCCAATCAAATGCGGCCATGTCATACTTCAGTTTGATTGGTCGGAAAGAGTTTATCACAACTCCTCCCTTCCACAACTATAAATAGGTGTCTTCATAATTCAGAAAAGACACCAGAAGTTATAACAAGAAGCAAGAGAGAGCTCGTGGATCAAACGCTGCAAATTTCTCTACAAGTTTCAAGCTTCAAGCAATCAAGTTCAAGTTCAAGTTCAAGAACGAAGAACAAATCAAGGTCAAGTTCAAGCAATCAAGCTCAAGCTCAAGAACAAGATCATCATTTGTGGCAACAAACATAGATTCAAGATCAAGCTCAAAGGCCCTTGAATTTAATTACAATTGGAAAGTAGAATCAGAGGAATCATAGAGATTGTAACACTCAAATATTCGAAATAAAATACACGATTGTTGCGATATTTTTCGGTCTTGATTTTATTTTCTTAACGTAAATTTATTGTCTACAAATACAATACATTATAAAACGACGGGGAACAATGATCCAAACATAGTTTTAAGATCAGCTATACAGTATTATATTCCTTTGGCCAAATACATACACAGCCCATTAAACTTGGCCCAATATTTCATTTGGGCACTCTAACTAACTCTTGTTCCATTTTGGCCCTTCAACTCCATTTTTTTTGTTCCACTTTAACACAAAATTTTTTCCCCCAGGTAAAAATGTAGAGCGTGCAAATACCCAACTGCTACCCCCCCATCCCACTGCCCCCCCTACCCCCCCCGCAAAATTTTTTTAAAACTTTTTTTTTGGTAATTTCAAATTATTTGTTTTTCCTTTTTTCTGCCCACATCCCGAGGAAAAATAGTTTTTTTTTAAATATATTTTCAGTAATAACTACGGGTTCAACTGAACCCATAACTTTCGACGCAGAGTAAAAATTTGTATGTAAAAATTCATTAAAAATGTAAAAAGAATAGATATGAACCCATAATATTTAAAAATATAATGGGTTCTTTTGTTGCACTTTGACACAAAAACTTTTATCCCAGGCAAAAATACAGCGCGGACAAATACCCAGCTGCTACCCCCACCACCCGCAATTTTTTTTTTGTAATTTCAAATTATTATTTTTTCGTTTTTTCTGCCCCCTCTCGTGGAAAAAATATTTTTATCGATAAATTTCGCCGCGGAGTAAAAATTTGTATGTAAAAATTCATTAAAATTGTAAAAAATAGATATAAACCCATAGCTTTAAAAATATAATTGGTTCAATATTAAAAACATTAAAATTGAATCCATATGATTTAAATTCTGGATCCGCCTCCACGTTAGGAGTATGAAAAATAGTCAGCTTTTGTGTCAAAGTGGAACAAAAGAAATGGGGTTGGAGGGCCAAAATGGAACAAGGCTGAGTTAAAGTGCCAAAATAAAAAATTGGGCCAAGTTTAATGGGTTGCGTATGTATTTGGCCATGGAAATTTGGCTGAAAAATGGTCCCTCACGCGCCTAAAGGGGGAGGCAAATCACACACTAAATCTAGTGAGCTTTTGTGTTAAAGTGNCTGTTGCAGCAAAATAGTGGTTATTTTTCATTGACTTGATAAACGCTGGCATTTTTTCATTGACCAGTGTGAAAAACTGGCTAAACCATGATATTTTAACAATAAAAACACTATATACAGTGACCATAGAGAGTATGAAGGTAAAGAGGAACAGCAAAACAGGTGAAAGGCCAAATACATACACAGCCCATTAAACTTGGCCCAATATTTCATTTGGGCACTCTAACTAACTCTTGTTTCATTTTGGCCCTTCAACTCCATTTTTTTGTTCCACTTTAACACAAAATTTTTTCCCCCGGGTAAAAATGTAGAGCGTGCAAATACCCAACTGCTACCCCCCATCCACTGACCCCCCCCCCCCCCCCCGCAAAGTTTTTTTTAAAACTTTTTTTTTGGTAATTTCAAATTATTTTGTTTTTTCCTTTTTTCTGCCCACATCCCGAGGAAAAAAAAATTTTGAATATATTTTCAGTAATAATTACGGGTTCAACTGAACCCATAACTTTCGACGCAGAGTAAAAATTTATATGTAAAAATTCATTAAAAATGTAAAAAGAATAGATATGAACCCATAATATTTAAAAATATAATGGGTTCTTTTGTTGCACTTTGACACAAAAACTTTTATCCCAGGCAAAAATACAGCGCGGACAAATACCCAGCTGCTACCCCCACCACCCGCAATTTTTTTTTTTGTAATTTCAAATTATTATTTTTTCGTTTTTTCTGCCCCCTCTCGTGGAAAAAATATTTTTATATATATATTTTCAGTAATAACTACGGGTTCAACTGAACCGATAAATTTCGACGCGGAGTAAAAATTTATATGTAAAAATTCATTAAAATTGTAAAAAAATAGATATAAAGCCATAACTTTAAAAATATAATGGGTTCAATATTAAATACATTAAAATTGAATTCATATGATTTAAATTCTGGATCCGCCTCCACGTTAGGAGTATGAAAAATAGTCAGCTTTTGTGTCAAAGTGGAACAAAAGAAATGGGGTTGGAGGGCCAAAATGGAACAAGGCTGAGTTAAAGTGCCAAAATGAAAAAATTGGGCCAAGTTTAATGGGTTGTGTATGTATTTGGCCATGGAAATTTGGCTGAAAAATGATCCCTCACGCGCCTAAAGGGGGAGGCAAATCACACACTAAATCTAGTGAGCTTTTGTATTAAAGTGGAACAAAGAAAATGGAGTTGTAGGGTCAAAATGGAACAAGAGTTAGTTAGAGTGGCAAAATGAAATATTGAACCTAGTTTAATGGGTATGTATTTGGCCTATTCCTTTTCTTTCGTCCCTTCTTTTTAGGTAAATTGAATGGTAAAAATATAAGCATGTTAGAGTTACGACATTTCATTTGAAACGAGAATAAATACTGTAGTATTACACAACGGTCTATAGGGTTGCCCATTTTTTGAAACGGCTAAAAAATTGAACGCATTGATTGTGTTTTCTTTCAAGGAACCCATTGATGGAAATGAAAGGTGAGCTTACTACCCATATATGACACTTCTTAAAAAGATATTAACTTATATACTGTGATATTACAAACTGATTTTTTTATCATCAGATCATCTTAAAAGATAGTAGTATAGTGACAATGATCAATTTCTTCATCATATCAGTGTATACAAGTCAAATATATTTTAAATAAGGATATCATTTATATGTATTTTTCACGCTTTTTTAGAGGCTCTTCACATTGGACTCGGATAAATACACTGTTTTAAAGAGTAGTATTAATTAACGTTATATTAATATGGGAGTCACCATTAAAAGAGAATTAAGAAGCCACGGGATTAAGGGTTGTAGAACCGCAAGCACAGGATCACATGCATCTCTCATTAGACTTCACATGGGGTCATTCATATGCAAACTTGGTACACAAATGCATAATTATTAAACTAGGAACTTGATGTTGATGGGACTTCAATTTTTTTCCCCAGATGGCATACTCTGAAACCACACTTCATTCAAAGTCCGTCGGTCCAAACTTGTCAATTTTCATTTTTATTAAGCATAAATAAATTTCTCAAATACTACTTACATAGTATTATTTATAGGGGATTAAAATTTTAAAAGGAAAAGTAGCCCCGGGGCAAAATCATAAAGAAAGTAGGGGAGTAGTTTAAAGAGACCGTCCGGTACATGAAGCATTCCATATTCAAGCAGTGTCTGAAAAAGGTCACACCCAATGGATGTGATGTGGGCAATTTACCCTAATACAAGCATCAATGGCTGATTGTGATGTGGGCAATTTACCCTAATACAAGCATCAATGGCTGATTTCCCGGTGCTCTAAGGCTCCTTTCCAATTTTCAAAAATGAATTTTTTTAAAATAAGTATTCAAACTTTCGTGCTCGGAAGCCATCTAAACATTACGAAGGTTCTTTCTTTTTCTTATTTTTATCTTTATTTAAAATAAGACTCATAAATGCTTTTGCTCAATATCTTATATATTCTGCGTTATCAAGCCATGCATAAATTTCCTTTCATGCTATAGAAGTTTTTTTATGGCGAAAGTTTATTACTGACTTGTAAGTAGAGAAACAATTAATGAAGTGTTATCCGTTTCAGAAAACAAAGTGTTGTTATCGATTTTTAATGCTACTTACTCTTCTTTCTTCTAAATAAATAAAAAGAACATTCTCTGTATCTTATATTACAAAACCAAAAAGAAAAAAAAATTAAGTTTCTGATTAGTGAAAACGAGATCTCCGAAACCAAAATCTGCAGGTTATGAAAGTGAGATTTGAAGCTTTATTTAACCAACTTTACAATAAAAATGTTCATTTAATAATTTGAACAGTAGATATTTAAGAATAAATTCTCCTCCTGATTATTGAATCTAATCAAATCAACTTGAAGTGGTCAACTTTTATCGAATAAGGTAAAGAATATACATGGAACTTTTACCAAGAATTACAAAATTGTTCAACCTGGGATGTTGTTTATGCCAGAGGTTACAACATCAAGATTACTTTTCACCCCACCTTTGCTTTTCGCTTCAATTGTTTTTTCCTTTATTTAGTTGCAAAATATGGCGACATGTTTCTGGGAAATGCTTAGGCATAAGGTAAAAAGCCTTGAACACCAGATCATACACGCATTAAAAGTCGCATCATGTGTCGCAGGAATATTTTCTTTTTAAAGAAACGCTAAGTTAAATACTCCTAACATTATTTGTTCACAGGTAATTGTATCATAAAACCAACCAAGCCAAGTTACCAAAAAAAAAAAAAAAAAAAACCAACCAAGCCAGAGATGACAGACCAAACCACCATTAAAGCAAGCAGCCTAACACTACTACATTATCATTAATAAAAATTAAACAAGAAAAGCAAAAGTAACAACAAACAAGAATTGAAAGTCTCAAAACACACACTCCCCAGTTCCCAACAATCTAGTAGTACTACTATAGCTTATCACTTTCCCAGTTCCCAAACAATCCATGTACAACACTCAACACAGCAAACACAGTATCTCACTACTGCTTGCACGGCAGATTCTTTGAGGGCTCAAAAGCAAAAGGTCCAACATTAAAGAGCTTAACCCCAGTCTCAGAATCCACTGGTTTTGATGTCATTGGAGCTGGTGGTGGCAGTGGTGCAGGGACCAACATGGCTCCAGCTTGTCCACTGTGGAAATTTGTTGGGACACTGCATTCTGGTTTTGGTGATTTGGCTAAGAACACCTTGCACTTGTGGTAACCTGCTGTGGTCAACCACTTTGGTTGGATGAAGAAGAAACCATTCTTGTCTGTCGTGCCAAGGGCTGTTAGGTGGTACTTTGTGTTGTTGCATGCCAGCTTCACCACCGCTCCTGCACCATAAAAAGATCCATCAGCCTAAAATACATTAAGGAAAACTGAAAATGGTCCTCATTTATTTGTTTCATTTCTCATGACGGTGTTAGACCGATCATTACTTTTAGAAAGAAAAACTGATATACTTCTAGAACTTTTGATTTTAAAATGTGATGACATTTTTTTTACTAGGAACATATCATAAGGTAAAGTGTTAATTTCAAAGTTAAATATTCCTAAAGCACCCGATTTTTGAACATGTTATAAGTAAAATTTTAGGTTCAAAGTTAATAGTTCTCAAGTACACTGTTGTTCCATTTTATGTGATACTATTTTACTTTAATTTTTTCATCTTAAATTTTATGCCTCAGCCAAATAAGTTCCCATAAAAATGGAACATATATATAAAAAAAAAGAGTGTCACATATTATGAAATAAAAAGAATAGTTAAAAAGAGATGGGACCCTGAATTGGAGAAGCTCCCAAGAGAGTGTCAATCCCTCTGTACTTGCAAGATTTGCAGTAAACAACTCCTCTTACACCAACAAACTTCCTGGCTGGAAGAGGAGACGGTGGTTTAACTGGTGGATGAGCAGGCGGAGTTGGTGATTTAGTAGGCGAATGAGCAGGTGAAGTTGGTGGTTTAACAGGTGGAGACGGTGGTTTGACTGGTGGTGATGATGGTGTTTGTGAAGAGTGAGAGGGAGAAGGAGCTGGGGCTTGGCCGTGCTTGTGGTGGTGGTGGTGGTGGTGATGGCCACCATTATGAGGCTTAGGAGTTTCAACAGGTGGGAAGCTGACAAGGGAATTAGGAGCTAGTTCTGAAGTGACAATGCCTTCATTTTGGCCAAGAACTGTAAATGAGCTAAGTACTATAACTAGAATGACCACAAAGGCAGCCATTTTTTCCAAATGGTCTTTGTGAACTGAACTCTGAGTAGGAGTTTAGGGGAAATGGATGACATTTATAGGGGATTGGAAGAGGCATATTCTATAGGGAGTATTATGAACAAAATAATTTTTTTTTTTAAAAAGAAGCACGAATCATAAATGTGGGGGCCATGTTTAATGGGGTCAGAATGAGGATTAGGACAAAAGGGGTATATCATGTTCAAGAAATAAAGATTTAGTACAGGTGGCTAAATGATTCACATGCATAGGGCAGGAGGGGGCATGTTAATTTTGCACATCTAACCATGCGTCGTACAAGTTTCCAATGACCTTCCTTTTCATGTAATAGTAAAATCTTATTCCTCTAAATGGCTATAATATAAAGGAGACAGCTAGCACTACATTCCAATGGCTTTCCCATTTCAGTTAATTGTGATTAAAGTCAATTAAAGCACAAATAATTTGAAACAGTACGCATCAGCTTTCTCTTTTATCTTCAATTCTTTCTTTTTCAGTTTTGCACTTAGCTTTGTTTGAATTTAGAATTGGAGGAGTCTTGTATACGCTAGTTACCAGTACCCATTTGTTTTGTTTATGGGTTTTGGGGTTTGGGTGGGGGGGGGGGGGGGTATAGGTCAGTGTTCTGTCATAAGTCTATGTCTGTATGTGAAAAGTGGTTATGGAGGGAGTCCTACAACCCAAAACTCCAGAGGTAACGGCTAGCTGAAAAGCCTGCCTCTTAAGTCTTGGTTTTCTTCTCGAGGAATTGCGGTTCTAGACTTGAAATATTTTAACTTGTGTAGGGTACTCAACGATTTTATAAATTTTGTGGTTTAACTTCTATAATGTGTAATATACCATCGTATTACTATGTTATACTAAGAGCCTTGGCTTAGCTAATTTATAATAGCCGATAAGTATTAGGTGCTGAAAAGCACTTTTAAATGCTGAAACTGATTTAAAAAATAAGCAGTTACGTGTTTGGATGAAAATGCTGAAATTAATAATATGCAGCTGAAGAACTGGACATACGACGAGTTTTGTTTTAAAAAGAAATATTTTAAGGATAGAATAGTAAATATTTTGGTCAAACTTAAAGTGCTTATAAGCTAAAATTTGATAAGTTAGGGAAGACCAACTTATGACTTTTGGCTTATAAGCACTTAACTTATAAGCACTTTTTATTTTACCAAACGCGTAGATAAGCCAAAAAGTGCTTATAAGCCAGTTTAACCAGCTTATAAGCTTAGCCAAACACCCTCTAAGTAAACAAACTATGTTAAATTATTTTGATGATATCTGTATACAACTAAAATCGAAGCGTCCAATTTTATGATCATTACGACGATCCGTAGCCTATTCTATTGAAGGCTCGAGGGCAGCTCAAGGTTCGACCCCAAGGATCCTCTATGTTCGACCTCGGGGCAGTGCAAATCGGTGGCTCTGATGGACAAGCGAGAAATTCCCAAAGCATATGGTTAGAACTGACTAGGTCTACTAGGCTAGTACAAGTCCGTACCGTGATATTAAATCGATGTACCAACATCATATCTTTGTAATAAATGCACCTGTACTATGTTAGGTTTCCCCCTTCTATATAAAGGGGACCCTTGTTATTTTGTAAGACACATGATATTCAATACAGGAACAATAACATTAGCTCTCTAACTTAAACATATTCTACTATTATTCCTTTGACCATAAAGAGCCATCATCAAAGCTATTAGAATTGTTAGTCCTTCATCTGTCATCCACATCCTAACGCTCTAGCTCGACCTTGAGGCCCAGCATAAGCTAGCCCGAGACCCCGATTTGCGGCCATTCGGTTTGCATATCACATTATCTTCAAGCTTTTATCTCATTTTCAAGTGTCACACGTAGCATCTATTGCCTAACAACTAGCATTAAAATAAATTACGTATTTTTAGAACCACAAAATCAAATCTAATTATAAAGGTAAACAGTTTGACGCCTACCGTGGGGCTAAAAATAATAGTGATTGTTTTCGTGCCGGTTCTCTGATAACACACGTTACTCTTCACACTTTTTCTTGTCCAAGAATCTTTGATTTCAGGTCAAAATGTCTAACTCAGTGAATGCACATGAGAATAACGTTCCTGAGAACCATGGAGAGAATGGTGTAGTTGTTCCAGGCATCGGTGTACCACCACGAAACCCTAAGGATGCACCAGAACCAATTCCCGTGGACGTGGTCTCACGCAATGCCCAACACGTCGATATAAGCTCCTACACTAATAGGAGTATACGCCAAGAAAACCAATAAGAAGCTCAAAAACCCCAGCTCGGGAGGAACAAGAGGTTAGCCTTCATGTCATTTTTGAGATGTTGCAGGCATAGCAGCTGGTGATTGCTCAACTGCAAAGCTACCAAAAAACTCCAAGCACATCAGCACCGGAAAGATCAAGCAACAACGGGTCAGCAGCCGACCCCGCTATCATATAGATGCTCGAGGACCCCACAAAGAGGATTTAATCGGGAAAAAAGAAGATAGAAGCCAATGACAAAAAGGTGGAGACTTATAATTCAAGGGTCGACCAGATTCCGGGCACAGCCCCGATTCTGAAGGGTATAGATTCAAAGAGATTTGTACAAAAGCCATTCCCATCAAATGCTTCTCTAAAGCCCATCCCGAAGAAATTCAGAATGCCCGATCTCCCGGAACCTCGGCCCAACGAGCACATTACTGCTTACACTTGTGCTGTAAAGGGGAATGACCTGAAGGACAACGAGATCGAGTTCGTCCTGCTAAAAAGGTTCGGAGAAACGCTTTCGAAAGGGTCCATGATGTGGTATCTCAACCTATCCCCGAATTTGATAGACTCATTTGCCATGCTGACAAATTCTGTTATAAAGGCACATGTCGGTGCAATCAAGGTTGCTACAAGAAAATCCGACGTCTTCAAAATAAAACAAAGGGAAAACGAGATGCTACGGGAGTTTATATCTCGCTTTAAAATGGAGCGAGTGGAGTTACGACCAGTCTCCAATGACTGGACAGTACAGGCCTTCACCCGAGTTTTGAACGAACGAAGCTCGGTAGCTTCAAAGCGGCTGAAACAAAACTTGGTTGAATATCCTCCTGTGACTTGGTCGGATGTCCACAACCGATATCAATCAAAGATTAGGGACGAGGAAGACCAACTAGGAGCCCCCTCGGGCTCAGTATATCCTAGCAGGCTCCTGGCAAAGGAACCAAGACAAAACAAGGAAAGGTACCAACCGTACATTGAAGATCGAAGAAATGCCCCAAGGCGTAACATACCCCGAAACGACCGAAGGGCAGATCGAGGTCAGAATCCTCGGGGACTCGTGAGCAGAGCCGGATTTGACAAACACGCAGGACCGATGGAGGCACCCCGATTATTTGAGTACAACTTTAGCATTGATGTTTAAAGCATCGTATCTTCCATAGGTAAAATTAGAGACAGCAAGTGGCCAAAGCCCATACTATTAGATCTGTCGCAAAGGAACCCTAACCTGGTGCACAAATTTCACGGCACACACGGCCATAGGACCGAGGATTGTAGACAGCTCTGAGAAGAAGTAGCCCGACTAATCAACAAAGGTCACCTCCGAGAGTTCCTCAGCAACCGAGCCAAAAATCAGTTTTGGGAAATAGAGCCGAATAGGAAAAATGAAATAGATGAGCCACAACATGTCATCCATATGATCGTTGGAGGAATTGATATCCCGTAAGAACCCATTATCAAACAAATAACAATATCCATTACCAGAGAAAAGTCAACTCGAGGTTACATACCCGAGGATGCTCTCACATTCAGTGATAAGGACATCGAGGCCCTGTCTCGGCCTCATAACGACGCATTGGTAATTTCTTTTCTTGTGAATACATTTCAAATTAAACGTGTGCTTATGGATCAAGGTAGTTCGACCAACATTATTAGGTCGAGGGTGGTGGAGCAACTCGGACTGCTCGACCAGGTCATGCCCGCCTCTCGAGTCCTCAACAGATTCAACATGGCGAGTGAGACAACAAAAGGGGAAATCATCCTCTCGGTCAACGTGGCCGGCACAACCCAAAATGTAAATTTCATGTCATCGAAGGAAACATGAGGTACGATGCCTTGCTCGGAAGGCCATGGATACACTGCATGAGAGCAGTACTATCAACCCTTCATCAAATGATGAAGTTTTCGACGAAAGATGGAATAAAAACTGTATACTGGGAGCAACATGCAGCAAGAGAGATGTTCGCGGTGCATGATGTGGCACCGGCATTGACGACTTCAACATCGAAAGAGCCAAAGGATAAGCAAACAATGAAGTAGCAATCACAAGCTACATTCTCGGCTGCAGCTGAATAAATGAGCAAAGGACCATACCGAGTCTCCGGAGCAAGCGGTTGAAGTATATCGAGGCTCGAAGCGCCATCACCACTAAGGTATAACTATCTCCCTTTTTATTTATATCTTAGTGTTAGAAACTATGCGTCTACCAGACTGTATAGAGAACCGAGTTCTCTATGAGTTTCCACTGAAAATACTAATGAACCAAGCTATATAACGATCTGGTCCTATATCAGTTCCCACAGTGCTAACTACTGAACCAGTATGTAAATGAGATACAGAATAAGTTTCCACTGTGTAGAGAACTAGATTCTCTAGAAGTTCCCAATGTAAGCAACAAAGTGTAAAACCATCCAGTGTAGGGAATCAGGTTCTCTAATTGTTCTCGCAGTAGCTCGGCAGTAAGTAAAGAACACAAAGGATTTTTACATGGAAAAATCACAACTCAAGGGGACAAAAACTACGACCTACACTTGTAGGCTTTCAACTTCACTAACTTGTAAACCCCTATTACAAGACACTTTGTAATAACTTTATTATAAAGGATTCAACTCAACTAACTTGTGATACTCTCACCACAAGTCACTTTGTGACTTTCTAGTTACAAAGACTTTGACTAACTTGTTATACTCTCACCACAAGACACTTTGTAATAACTCTATTACAATGACTTCAATCACTCTAACTTGTAATAATACTATTACAAGCCACTTTATAACTCTCTAGTTACAAAGACTTT